CGTTCTCGAGAAGAAGATGAAAATGCAAAATCCTTTATTGGTCACTGGAGCGTATCGCCGAAGTCACTCATGCGTATCCTTGACATATCGCATCCGGAACATGTCCATTAATCATTGTTATGAATTTCAACCCAATAGCATGTATCAATTTTGAGAAATCGCAAAAAAACTGAAAACGCGTTTTGCTCACTGGAGCGTGAAAGCGTGGTCACTCATGCATAAAATTTGCATTTTATTGCTAGCTGAGAACTTCTGCACATTTGAGGTGAATTTCAAGTCTGTAGGACCAACTTGAAAAAAAAACTAGAGCTGCGTGCAGCTTTAACAGGCTTCCCGCGTAAAAAAAACTGGAGACGCGTTTTGCTCACTGGAGCGTGGAAGCGTGGTCAGTCATGCATAAAATTTGCAATTTATGATGGGGGACTTATTATCCGCATGTGATGTAAATTTCAAGTCTCTAAGTAGTGTCGTTCTCGAGAAGAAGATGAAAATGTAAAATCCTATATTGCTCACTGGAGCGTATCGCCGAGGTCACTCATGCGTATCCTTGACATATTGTTTCCTGAACATGTCCATTAATCATTGTTATGAATTTCAACCCAATAGCATATATCAATTTTGAGAAATCGCAAAAAAACTGAAAACGCGTTTTGCTCACTGGAGCGTGAAAGCGTGGTCAGTCATGCATAAAATTTGCAATTTATCATGGGGGACTCATTATCTACATGTGATGTAAATTTCAAGTCTCTGAGTGGTGTCGTTCTCGAGAAGAAGATGAAAATGCAAAATCCTTTATTGGTCACTGGAGCGTATCGCCGAAGTCACTCATGCGTATCCTTGACATATCGCATCCGGAACATGTCCATTAATCATTGTTATGAATTTCAACCCAATAGCATGTATCAATTTTGAGAAATCGCAAAAAAACTGAAAACGCGTTTTGCTCACTGGAGCGTGAAAGCGTGGTCACTCATGCATAAAATTTGCATTTTATTGCTAGCTGAGAACTTCTGCACATTTGAGGTGAATTTCAAGTCTGTAGGACCAACTTGAAAAAAAAATAATAAAAATAAATAATAATAATAATAAATAAATAATAATAATAATAATAATAATAATAAAACACAGGAATACAATAGGTTCCCTGCTGACAAGCAGCGGGAAGCCTAATAAATAATAATAATAAAACACAGGAATACAATAGGTTCCCTGCTGACAAGCAGCGGGAAGCCTAATAATAAATAATAATAATAATAATAATAATAAATAATATTAATAAAAAAAAAGGAATACAATAGGTTCCCGGCTGACAAGCAGCGGGAAGCCTAATAAAACACAGGAATACAATAGGTTCCCTGCTGACAAGCAGCGGGAAGCCTAATAAGTTGAAATATGAAAAAGATCCGATTATGTTAAGTTATTTTTTTCTAGACAAATTTGCCCGTATATGAACGAGACAAATTCGATAATAGTTTTCAATCAAGTCCTCGTTACCCGAGCAGCTCGTTCGAAGCCAGTTTTAAGATGCTGACTCCACAAATGGCTAAACTTCTACTGGGGGTAAAAAGTCGTCCATGTTATAGGTAGTTGGATACGGTGTAAAGTACCAATCACTGTTAGCAATAATCTTTGGGATGGCAACTCATTCTATGTAGATTAGCACTCAATGACCGTTTTGCAGCCGTAATAAAAAGACTTGATATTTAGGAGATACAGAATTTTGTGTTCATAACGAGACTTCGTGGTGTGATATATATCTTTCTTTGGTAAATTTCATGGTTTGTTACTATTCATTACTCCATATTTCACGAACCAATGTCACGGTTGACCGCCTCCGTCACGCTTGTCCGCCAATCGTTTCAGCAAAGTCGGTACTCGCTACTCGGTCACATCTAGTTTGGCTAGTTTTGATATTTATAATTTTTACTAACGGATATATCCGTATATTTCGTATTTTCACTAGTTACTGCTTATTGTTAGAAAATCAATTTCACATGATTTTTGTGGTGAATTGTAGTTTGATTGTAAATTGTACAATACAATTGTACAATAAACTACCGAAATTATAGAATGGTGCAAAGATTAGAAGTAATCCGGGACACAAGTTAGTTTAACGCTTGAAATGAGTCCTCGAGATAAAAACTAGCTTTTTCCAACCTAGAATAGGTTTTACATCCTGATCCCGGGAGAGTAGAAAGCCGATAAGATGGCTTAATCATATGACGAACCACGGCCTCTCGTCCGGTTACCACTCCAAGCCGGGTCTGGGATTAGTTAGCCAGTTAGGTATTTCCAGGTATGTGAACAGCGGTTACGTGAACCACCCTACGGCGGCAAAGAGTGCACATAAGTATCCCCGCATGGGATTCGAACCTGCGCACCCACGCAGGGTAATCAGAGTTGTGGTGGCGAGCGTATTCTTAACGCCCAGCCTTAGCACGATGCGCTACACCGTCGAGCATAAGAAGGCGTTCCTTCAATATACCGCAAAAACTAAATGCCGCGTCAGGTCAAAAGGCAACAAGCTCAGCAGCGCTTCCCACAGTGTAGGCCCAAGTTATATGTACGTGAAAGCGCAATGCACAAGATAAGAAGAAAAATCAATATGTACCACCCAACCTCGCCAGACCACAAAAAAATCCAAATGTAGGCAAAAACAGCGACATCAATAAATAGTCATCACCTAAACCGCCATCCTCCAGACTGCCTCATCCACACATCCATTTCCTCAAAATCTCTTCAACTAAATTTGTTTACAGTCTCGCTTATACTCCCAACTTAACTTTTTAAAGCAAATGCGCTCTTCCATAACATACCAATCACATTTGTTTTGCGTATTTCGTGATGTGATAGTGAAGTTCACTCCAGCATATAGACTAAAATATAGACAAAGAACTGTGAATGAAAGTTGCTATTATATGCTTAGGGTGCCGTCAGTAGCCACAACCACCAAAAAAGCATATGGTGTATTCTGGCTACTTCATTGTCCGGTTTACCCTCACAATACTATCCGGATATCAAAATACCTCTCGGTTAACCGGTTATTCGGATAATCCAACCCTAGTCACATTCGCCAGTCTCATTTGTCGCAGTTCCTTTAATTTACGCAGACTAGTGCAATCATATGCTGGTAAGTAGTCTACCAAATAAATGTCTCACCGAGTAAATTACGATGTCGCATGGGCCAGATAAATTCCTCACTGCGGCACCTTTTATCATGAAGCATATTAGATGTACATATTTTCGAAAAATCTTCAAAATATCGTACGTGGACGCAATGGGAAGGGTTCTGGCTTTCAGTTATCTCATGCAAATATCATGTACATCACCTCACCCGGATTCCGTTTTTGGACACGTAGTGGACATAACGATCGTTTCAATATTATGTTGTTGTTGTTGTTGTTGTTGTTGTTGTTCTTGTTCTTGTTCTTTGACACGTTTTTAAAAAGTCGCTTTTCTCTTTGATTACTGGACTAATTGCTTTGAAATTTTCAGTGGTTGAAGATGAAATTTTTCTCCAGAAGGCTATTACTTTTATTTATTTCAAATATTTCTGTTAGCTCTGTAAGATTTGTTTTTGTTTGCTATGACGTCACTAAACGTTCTGTGGATATCGGACGCCATTTTGTGTCCAACGGACCATCTTGCAATTTCAATCCAAGCTGTCACAAGACAGGACCTTCTAAAGATAGAGAAGTTCTGGTACCGTAACACAGCGCGGTGACACTGAACTAACTCGTAGCTGTCAAAAGCTTGAAAATCCATACAAATATGAGAAATAAAAAGATGAAACTTGGCAGGTGGGTAGAGTTGTGTTTCTTTTAACCATATTTGAAAGTTTCGCGTTTCTACATTTGAAGGGGGAGGAATAGGGGTTGTGCATTTCCGATACGTCGATAATATCTTTGTTAACCAATTTGCAGCCACCGTGTTTTCGTCTGTTTGATTGCTGTGATGTGGTGGTTTGTTTATAATTTAACGAGTTTTGTTCGAAATAACCGTGTTCTTGAAATATATGACGGTCAGAAATGCAATTAGAAGCCCAATGTTTTCACGCTGTCACAAGACAGGAACTTCTAAAGATAGTGTAGTTCTGGTACCGTAACACAGCGCGGTGACACTGAACTAACTCGTAGCTGTCAAAAGCTTGAAAATCCATACAAATATAAGAGATAAAAAGATGAAACTTGGCAGGTGGGTAGAGTTGTGTTAACCATCTTTGATAGTTACTTTTCTCCCCCGGGATAAATATGTAAATCCTATCCTAATACGCCGATAATATCTTTGTCAACCAATTTGCGACCACCGTGTTTTGTCTGTTTGATTGCTGTATGGCTGAGTATGCGATAGTCTCAACGCAGCAGAAACGTTGATCAAGGCTTGAAATCCGTGGTCGCACACTGGTCGTTCGGTCGCAAATACGTCTTTCGAGTGCCGTACTTTGGGGATTTGTATAGCTTTAACCCTTTGTCGTAGAAAGTTAATACGAGGTTTAGCGTGTAGAATAAATGCCGCCAATGCACCCACGGTGAAAAAATTAACGGGTTAGATATATTGGTTTTTGTTTTATAGCGGTTTGAATGAAATTGTCCGCAGACTGGCTACACCACCCTAGGCCTGGTGAGTTGTCCGTGTAGTCGAATTGTCCATCAGCCCTAAACGGCTATGACAGTCACTGTACCAAAAATTGTGCCCCGATTCGGCTGGTGTTAAGTTGACGCATGTTATTTAGTAACGTTTTTATGTGAAATGTTTGACTGTGGTTCGGTACCTGATCCGATAATACGGTACATAATTGACTCATATCACGAGATATTTCAACTGATGTTTCAATTGTCACAGGAACTAAAATATCTATGACAGTCCCTGTACCGTCACGGTACCCCGATACAGGTACTGGTAAGTCACCGCCGGTATGTTAGTCGTTGATCACCGCATATGATTTTGGGCGAATTGTTCTGCGTGTCCATATATTTGAGCATTGCTCTCTTGTTTTTAAAACTATTGTAGGCAGCTCTTTACTTAGCAATGTGTTTGGGGCAAGCTTGCTGTTATGGGGAAACGTTCTGTCTTTATAATATAGTGGGTATAATACATTTGTCATTGTGTTTAAATTTGCAGAAGCAATGGGTGGCACCTCCCTGTAGAGATATATCAGAAATACTCTTTAATACATCAAAACAAAAGGAAAAGTATTGTTACTTTTAGAATTCAATGTGAGTTGCAGAAATTTTGTTTAAAATTTAATAGTGGACATGGCTGAATTTGCATTTTATCGTGCAATTTATCTAATTAACTAATTTTTCCCTGTTCAACAGGTTACCACCCGGAACTCTAACTACGAACTTACAACCGAAGACAACATCACATACACTTTGACCGGATTTCAAGCTCCCATTGGAAATGACTTCAATACCGAGGTTAGTGTTTACAGTATTCATTTAATGCGATAGAAGTATAGAGTTACAAATATAAAACAAAATACTTCCAAAATATCTATAAACACAACACCCGATTGCCCGAAACTTGATTTGTTTTGGGAATCTTAGTTTTTCACATTACCTAATTGTCATTCTAGGTTTCATTCCACCTTGTCTACGACATGGAAGATGGAGTCGATAGATTATTCGCTGTTTGATTATGATCTCACAGGTTATAGTTAAATATAGTATACTGTATATGACTCTAAACTCAATATGAATCCACCAACACCACCACCCAGAGAAAAAACACCTTGCAAGACCAAAAAGGTAATAACAACAAAATGTAACAAAAAAGAAGAACAGCAACAATCCGGGATAGCAGGAGCTCCGCTCAACGTGTCAACAACATCTGACATATCTCAACATAGCGAGATAGTGAGTGGAATCCTTCCTCTAATAACAAGGAATATAATACAAGGCATCACCTTGCAACTTCCCGCCATGGTAGGCCAGTGCCTCCAGGAAAACTATGACTTTTCAGATAACTCTGATATACTAACCCCTATAACACCAAATATCCAAGAAGTACTCAGTGATTTGAGCCAGTCCATGCGAGAAATAAGATCAGAATTAGCTGAAATAAAAGAAAGCCAATCATTTCATACCAAGATGTATGATGACCTCGCAAATAAGAACAAAATCTTGGGAAAACAAGTATCCAATAACAAAAGAACTATCGATAATCTTCTTGAGCGAATATATGATCTGGAAGACGATCTATACTATGTCTCGGAGAAGCTTGAAGATCAAGAAAGACGCGGGCGTCTAGAGAATCTCGAGTTTCATGGAGTTCCCATCACTGAAAATGAGAATACGGATGAAATAGTCTGTAACATAGCAAAGATGATTGGCGTTAACATCCATGCCACCGATATCTCTGTTTCACACAGAATGCCAACAGGAGCCCAACATACTAGAACTCCTGCCATAATTGCAAAATTCGTCCACCGCAAAACAAAATGAAGATCTTTGAAAAAAGAAAGTCCCTGCGATCAATAAAATCAAGCGCAGTGTTTAAACATCCTTCAAAAATATTTATTGCAGAAAATCTAACGGCTCTGAATAAAGATCTGTACTTCAGAGCTAGAGCTGCAAAAAATAACTGCGGATACAAATTTATATGGACCTCAAATGGAAAGGTATTCGTGAAAAAGAACAGCGATGTCAAAAACTCACTAAATATTAGATGTGATGAAGATCTGGCAAAAATCAAATAACTGTTATGTGAGTGCCATTTTCTACTTATTCTATGTTGACTAATACTGATATAACATGTCATTTATGTAGCAAACTATTATTATCTGATCAAACTAAAACAAACTGTGAAATATGTGCCAAACTATTCCACTCTGAATGTGCTCTCGCCTCCGCATCCCCTCGCGCACCACGATCTCAGCCTTATTTTTGTTATTCGTGTTTGAATGGAATCTCTCCCCCTCGATCTAACCATAAGGTTCATAGTGCACATTTCTCTATTGATAGCTATAGATCTGACCTAGAATGTTCTTTGCACCCCATATCGAATTACCAAATTACATCTGATAATTTAAATATTTTATTCGATTCATTCATTCAGATATTTAAATCAACCATTGATGCCAATGCACCAATGAAACCACTGAGTCGGCGAGAGAATAGACTTCTAGCTAAACCTTGGTTGACTAAAGGCATCAGCGTATCAATTAAGACGAAACAGAAAATGCATAAAAAATATTTTAAAAATGGTAGCGACACAAAATATAGATTATACAAAACTTACAGCAATTTACTTAGAGTCTTGATAGCTAAAGCAAAGAAATTGTATTACTTTAATAAATTTAAACAAGTCAGTGGCGACGTTAAATCAACGTGGAACCTAATTGGGCGACTGGTCAATATAAAAAAAGACATAACATCAACAACTACAATTAAAGCACTAAAAACAGAAACTGGGCAGAAAGTAAGCAATCCAGATCTTATTGCCAACTATTTTAATGATTATTTTATCTCTATAGGCCCTAAGCTTTCTGAAAAAATCCCTCACACTGGATCTTTTTTGAGCAACCTTAAGAATCCAATAAAAGAGTCTTTTTTTCTGAGACCAATAACCGTCAATGAAGTATATTACACAATAGCAAGTTTACCTGATGGTAAATCGGTTGGTTATGATAATATTCCAGCGAAATTTCTAAAATATGCTGTTGACATAGTTTCCCCATTGCTATGTAAATTATTTAATGCCTCTATAGACTTTGGAATTTTCCCTCATAGTTTGAAAACTGCCAAAGTTTCACCGGTATATAAATCTGGGGATAAAGAATGTACATCAAATTATCGTCCAATATCAGTTCTATCCCATTGACTTTAGTATTTGAAAGGCTTTTACATGCTAGACTAACCGAATTCATAGAAAGACATGGCATTATAAACAAATCCCAGTTTGGGTTCCAAAAACAACACTCCACTAATCATGCAATTCTCGATATGATTTCTTATTTCTATGATAAGTTAGAGAGTAGGGAATTTATCAGTGCTATTTTTCTTGACCTCAAAAAGGCATTCGATACCGTTGACCATAGCATACTAATTAGAAAAATGAACCATTATGGTTTTCGCGGCCACGCGTCAAAATTTTTCCAGAGCTATCTGAGTTATCGCCAGCAGTGTGTAAAAATCGGATCAAGTTGCTCCGAGCTTGCAACTGTACAATGTGGAATTCCACAGGGTTCGATAATTGGCCCATTAATGTTCCTCCTTTTCGTCAATGATCTTCCGCACGCCACTAACTTGCTTGTCAAACTCTTTGCTGATGATACCGGATTGTTTGGAAGTTCAGCTTCTCCAAGTGATTTGGAATTGGGTATGAACTCTGAAATGGATAAAATTTCAACTTGGATGACTAACAATAAACTCACGATTAATGTCGAAAAATCTAAATGCCTATTGATTAGCCACAAAAATAATCGTAAAAATAAAATTCGACTTGAGATTAGCATTAATGGATCTCTACTCGAAAATGTGAACTCATTTAAATACCTTGGCATCCACATTGATGATCAAATGAAATGGGCCACCCATATTAACTATGTTGCTGGAAAGCTGGCAAGTGCAACTGGTATGTTATACAAACTTAGAAAATTTCTTACCATGCCAGTCCTTCGAATGGTCTATTTTTCTCTTTTCCAGTCATATCTACAGTATGGTATCATCATCATGGGTAACGCATCGACTACTCTCCTTCGAAGATTGGAGGTTTTACAAAACAAAGCAGTTCGATCCATATGTAACGCACCATTTCGGTCTAGACTAGATCCTTTATACCACAGATGTGGAATAATTAAACTTGGTCATATTCATGAATTTGAGGTATTGAAACTCATGCACCAGTACTTTGATGACAAACTTCCCATGGCATTCACGAATTTTTTACGAAGCAGAGTAATATCCATTCCTACTCTACCAGATCGGCTTCATCAGGTTCATTCCATGTCCCAAGGTACTCCTCGAGCAGAACACAGAAATCCATTAAATATATAGGTGTGAAACTGTGGAACGCTTTACCTAATACCATTAGATCCCTAGCATATTGCACTTTTAAAAGAGACCTAAAAATAAATAATATCGGTGAATATCTCTCCTTTATACCAGTACGGGTACCGGTAACCATTGAGATTTCTACTAAGATCGCTTACTTTTTATTACCGTAACGATCTGGCCTACACTGGCTAACGTCAATCAACCCGAACGAAAATAGGTGCAAGGAGTCGGAATCCGAGAGTATCTGCTACATTAATAGTTGATTCAAAAATCGTGCAGAGTGGAGAGCGATAGCTTATTGCCCTTAACCTACGTTCGCTATTATTTTCAAAGACCAGGCCGTTTTATCTTTTCCTCTTTAATATGTACATTATATAGATGTAATAGTTTGTTTGTATTCCTCATTAGACCTTATCAATTTTTCGTAAGTGTCTCCTAAATTGCATTTGCTGTAAATATTTTCGATTTACTGTTTGCCTTATATTGCTTTTAGTTGCATATTCCGCCAAACTTACCTTCCTATATTTTTTCTGTGCTTTTATCTTGCTTTCCTCGCGTTTTTATTAGTTGTTAGTAATTATTCCGTGAAAGTTACATTTTCTGTTTTACTGTGTCATAATCGCATACATTTCGAATGGCGCTGTAATTGTACCAGTTGTGACTTATTCCTGGGATTTATTCATTTTATCCCTCATTTAATTATATTTATTCTAACCTGTAGCGCTGTAGGTGTCGCTGCTTGAAGACCTTCTTAGGTCCCTCGCGACTCCGGTCACGCAAAAACATGATTAGTACTGTAATTTATTCATTATGTCACTTTATGTTTGAACGTGTTTTTTTGTGATGACAAAATAAACGATTGATTGATTGATTGATTTTATGAGTATAAAAACCATTCCATCGGTAACAACCAATCGGCAAAAGCGACAATTTTTAACGATAAGAAAGTGTCTTTAAAACCGGTCCAAGTCAAGGGATTAAGAAATATAGACATAGTTTATTTTGAAACCTCTTTCAAAAGGAAAGGCAATATTTACCCAGATAAATACAATGACATATTAACAGAAACTTCGGGAAAGCAGACAAAACCTAAAATAAGGTTTAAAACGTTACTATGAAGAAAGGAAAGTTAATGCAAAGATAAGGACATGCACCGCTCACTCATAGATATATATGCTGCTAGACTTCTACTGCTTGAACATATATGCAACACGCCGCGGTTTCTTGGAAGCAAAATGCTCAATAACGCGCTGATTAAAGTCATGCATCCCAGAAATAACGTCTCTGTGAATGGATAAAACAGCCAAGGAATTTAATCTATCTTGCTTCATTGTGTTTCTGAGATACGTTTTAATACGCTTCAGCGTGCTGAATGTTCGCTCTGCGTCGGCGGAAGAAATAGGCGTCGTCAAAATGATGTCCAGAAATTTTGCAGACGCCGCAAAGGTAGTTACTAGAGTGTTATCTATGAGGAACCCATAGAGCGCGCAAGTTGATGTGATGTTCAAAAAAGTTTGATTGGTGTATATACATCGCAATTCATTTTCCAATTTACCCACGTTTATCATGGGGTAAAATTTGGAGACAGTAGCCAACAAATGGATGGGAAATTGACGTGCAAATTTTGAAAAATTTTTGGGGTTCATCAAAGAGAACGCGGCAAGGTGTTCAGTGCGCAGACGATCGCCTATTTGATTCACCAGAATGTCACAGCATTCCTTTGCAGACAAAATCAAACGCTGCGTTGTTTGCCCGCGGCGTAAAGAAGCACTCCATGTGTCGTCGTATTTTATTGTTTCCCGGATACGAGATACAGCATCGCAGAAGTCTGAAATACACGACTGCACAGACGCTCCATCCATTAGCCTTGACTGCAATGCGCCGTATAATACATCCACGTGATAGAATATTGTGGAGAAAAAAGCGAGAAAAAATGAAAACTCACCATCTTCTAGCAGACGCTTTAGACCTGCCGCCTCCCTCACAGAGCGTTCGTCCCAAACCGGAGAGCTCTGAATGCCATTGAAACACTCAATGAGCTCAGACCTAATTTCGGACACGCCCTGCACCACGCGTGATTGGAAGTTCCAACGTGTTGGTGCACAAGCTGGGAGACGGCGGCTACATATCTGGCGAAGGAGGTCAGAGCGCTTCGGCGAAACGGAAAAAAATGAAGAAAACCCCGAAACATTTGCAAAAAATATACGGACGAGAGGGGTATCAAGACACATATTTTTAATAACGAGGTTAAATTGGTGTGCATAACAATGTAAAAAATGCGCATGAGGAAAATCTTCTTTTATATAAACTTGAACACCATGTTTCGACCCACTCATGACTGCCGCGCCGTCATAAGTTTGAGCTATCAATTTTGACTTCGCGTTGTAAGGCTGTAACACTTCTTTCAGTACAGCCGATATCCCGCAAGCCGTGCGATCAACGATTGG